TAATTCTGAGGCACTGGTGGGCCATGAGACTGCACGGATTGCACAGCCTGGCAAGAACATGGGAAGGAAAAAATAGGTTTGCTTTGGCTTCAGTCTCTCTGTGTCCAAAGGCATTTACAATGTAGGATGTTTGTGCTTGCAGACACTAGATAACTTTCCAAATGAAAATGCCAGTAAAGGGACAGCTGCTGATCCTGCCGCCTGGCAAATCATTAACTGCGTTGACACTGTATTACTCAGCAGATTTAAAACCTCATTCACGTACAGTCTTCTGATGGACAAAAATACTTATTACCCACGACTGACAGTGACAGCACTGGGAAGGTGGGAAACTGAAGCAGAACCCTGGAGCAGTCAAGTACGCAGGCTGGCTCCCAGGACCTGAGGGCTTAATACTCTTCCTAAAGAGAATTGATTATCGAATAGACAAGAAACTCATGTGGGTGGATTCACTCACTTGCCCAAAACAATTATTAAGCAGTAGAAATGATAACTACGCTGGTATTGCCAACAGTTTACAGTAAAAGGGAAAAGACATGGGGAAAAAAACAGGCAGTGATGTTTTATATGCGTCAGTACCAAGTAGAGATCAAAGTAGAAAATGGCCAGTCTTTCCAAATAGTGGATGTAGAAATAATCTTATGGAGAAGACACTTTCATTATGTCTTAAATAAGAGTAACGAGTTAAGCAGAAGAACCTGTAGGGGCCAAGGGGAAACTTACTCTTTGGCTTCTGCAGATTCGTGGAAAACCACCACCAAGAGGGAGATTAATCGGATAAAATGCATCGAATTTATTAATGTGTACATGGGAGACTTCAGGCTCCCAGATACAGGGGAAATTGTCCAATTTTATTTTTCAGATTCAGCAAACTATGGGCAGCCATGTCGAAACAGGATTGCTAATAAACTGAGTAGGGAAACCCAGCAGGGCTGTCTGTCTAGATTCCTCCTGGCCTCTCTATGCAGCATTGCTTCCTTCTGGATCCTCTCTGGAACAGAGTCTTATGATCTATGGTCAAATAAGGTAGTTCAGATGATTTCTTTATGGCCAGTTTACACAGAACAACAGAGGGAGAGGGAGAGTAACATTTTTAGGTTTTATGGCTGGCTCTGGGAAAAAGGTGCTTTGATTTCTGTGGTCGAACTTGAGGAAGAGGAATTCTCATTTCTGTAGCTAGACTCCGGGGAGAATGGGACTGAGAGACAGGAGGGCAGGAGAGGGTCAGAGAACAACGTTGGCTTCGGAGGCCTTTATTTGGGGTATTGCTTTCTGAATTACAACAAACCCCAGGGATCTACAGAGACTGCATACTTTTTCTTTCTTTTTTGTTATTTTAACCGTGAGATAAACACAGCGTAGGTGATTTGTTTTTTGCTTTATTTTGAGACAGGGTCTTGCTTTGTTGCCCAGGCTGCAGTGCAGTGGCGTGATCATAGCTCACCGCATCCCCACACTTCCAGGCTTCTGAGATCCTCCCACCTTAGCCACCAATGAGAGTTGCAAGTAGCATTTAGCGAGTAGAGGCGAGATGAGTTGAGACCCGCTGAGTGTCTTCAGCCTATACAGCTTCAAAATTATCTTTGCTGACCCCTAACTTTTGGATGCTACAGAGGAGTAGCATCCTCTGGAGTGTCCAAAGGAGAGGTGAACAGGATCATTTGACATATTTGGTTATACAGGATTGTCAAAGTAAGGTGGTGTTTGATCTTCAAGTTATATTTTAGTGAAAAATGTTAATATGTGTTCCAAAATTATACGGAATTTCTAGAGTTCTGATGTCTGAGTTTGTGTTATCAGTCATAATTAGGGTTATTGTGTTAGCTTATTGTAAATCACAGAGGTGGCCAAATTTCTTTGCCAGTTGTGTTTTTGACTGTGACCACCCTATGATATTTTAACATTTATAGACAAATGTTGTCTTGTTTTAAGACTCTTCAAAGGATGGATTATAACTCTCGATTGCAGGTTTCAGATAATTTTGAAGATGGTGAATAGGAGTTGACAAGGTGAGCTGAACTACTGGAACTTCTTGGAACTTGTTGCAGCTATTGGAACTTCTTGACTCTTGCCTGTGTACCTCGTTCTTCCCAGATGCAGGACAAGAACTCAGGCAAAGGCGCTGCAGCATAAAGTCTGACCAAAAAAACTGACATCCCAGAGGTCTTGTAACAATATTTTATGTTAAAGAATTTATGCATCTTTCCTATTCTAAGCATTTCAAATGATTGCAAGAATTCAACTGATGACAACTTATAGCCAAGACGATGTCTATTCTAATTTTTAGCTCAACTTCATACCAGTCTAAGTTGATAAGCATTCCTACAAAGTTTATGAAGTTCAGATTAGCCATATTAAGTATTGTCTTAAGATTTTTAATAATTGAAAAATTTGGAGCAGTTTTGTTCATTTGTTAATTGGATACTTTAAAAGTTCAGTATGTCAGCTTGGTGCAGTGGCTCACTCTGGTAATCCCAGCACTTTCAGAGGCTGAGCAGGAGGATCATCTGAGGTCAAGAGTTCAAGACCAGCCCAACAAACACTTCAATTAAGACAGAATTTTCTCAACAAATGATGGTGGAACAACTGAATAACCACATTTTTGTTCTATCAGGGGTCCTGATTCAAAGACCCAGGCAAAGAGGGAGAGACATCAGAACTCTCAGACACTGCTGATGGGAGGAGAAAATGCTTACTTTCGAAAACAGTGTAGTGATTCCTCAAAAGGTTAAACAGAATTCCCTTATGACCCAGCAACCCACTCCTAGATATATAACCACGAGAAATCAATGCGTTAAGTCCACACAGAAACATGTACATAAATGTTCATTGCAGCACTCTTCCCAATAGCCACAAAGTGGAAACAAAACAAATGTCCATCAGCCGATGAATGAATAAATAAAATGCGGTGGTATGTCCTTACAATAAATATTATTGGTCCATGGAAAACCTACACAAAAACCTTATGCTCAATTAAAGAAGCCAGTCACAACAAAGCAATATATTTCATGGGTCTATGTATACTAAATGGTCCAAATAGAAAGAAAGTAGATTAATGATTATCTAGGACTGGCAGGGGAAGGGGCGGAGAATGGAGGAATCAGGGATGTGACCAATTCGGGGTACATGGTTTCTCTTTGGGGAGATTGAAAAATGAAATTTTTGTAATGGTTGCATATCTCTGTAAATATACTAAAATCCATTATTTTTTGCATTTTAAATAGATGAATTGTATGACATATAAATTATACATTACCAAAAATTGAAAAGAGTAACAGTACTATGAGCCCCAATGTGCCCACCATCAATATTCTACATTTTTCCCATGTTATTTTATCTATTTTCCTACAGTTGAGGCCCTGATAACCTAAGTTTGATTTTCTTAATTTGTCAAAATTTGCACACATGCTTATAAAAATAATGCCTGTTGAATTTGCTACGTATGTAAAGTTTTGAGCAAATCAAGTGTATTAAATTTATTAATATGGTTTGAAATGTCTAAGGTAATAATTCCCAAACTTCGTTCAGGGAGGAGGAAAGCTTTTAAAATCCCAGTGCCCACGTGGCATCCCGTTCTGTTACGGAGAATTCTGCGTTGGGATGGATCCTTTAACTGAGGAGATTAATAGAGCCAGAGCTCTGGACCAGCAGTCTTGGTTATTGTGCTAGTGAGGAAAGAATTGCAAACGAACACCAAAATGCAAGCTTAAAGCAAACTTTATTGAAGCACTGTAACACACCCTCAGAGAGACAGAGGGCTGATTTCTGCAAAGTGAAATCAGCACCTCTTTAGGCAGCTCAAAAGTGCCTTGATGGGGTTTGTGGGAGGAGTTGAGGTTTTCGCCGTGTGTGAGTGACAGGATGATGTTATTTGATTGGCAGCTTATAGCTACGTAAACTAAAATTAAACTGTGCATGTTCTTACCTATAATTCGTTAAGAAAAGCCTCCCAGGGATGGGGAGCAAAACCATATATAAATTCTGTTAAAATAATGGTAGGGGGCCGGGCGCGGTGGCTCATGCCTTTAATCCCGCACTTTGGGAGGCCGAGGCAGGCGGATCACGAGGTCAAGAGATGGAGACCATCCTCGCCGTGATGAAACCCCGTCTCTACTAAAAATACAAGAATTAGCTGGTGGTGGCACGCGCCTGTAGTCCCAGCTACTCGGGAGGCTGAGGCGGAAGAATCACTTGAACCCAGGAGGAGGAGGTTGCGGTGAGCCGAGACTGCGCCACTGTGCTCCAGCCTGGCGACAGAGCAAGACTCCGTCTCCAAAAAAAAAAAGATGGTAGGATGAACTTTGGGGTGAAAGTGAGGACAGGGTTTTATGTTATTGGGCATGTGCCACTTTAGGGAATTTCTGCCTGTGCCCTCCTTTTTCCTTCTCCAGGATGTGTTGGCCACAGACTCTACCACAAACTCCATCCCTTAGGGTGAAATTAGGGCAGTCTTGGGGCTGAACTTAGGTGGGCCAGTGGCTGTCTTCGTGACAGCCTTTCCGCTCCCCTCTCTCATCTCCTACCAGACGCTAATATTTAACTACCTAACAACACCCATTAAATCAGGCCTCAGTATGTTTAATCATCCTCCAGGTAATCCCAATGCTGTCAAGTTTCTGAAACACCTGTCAGATAATTCAATTATGAAGTCTGTGGAAGGTATTCCAGTAGGATCTAATTGGTTAATGTTACGATTTAATTAATTTGAATAAAAAAAAATGAAAAAGCTTTATATTTGTAAATCAGGTAAGACACACGAGTTGGTCTAAGGTTGAGATAATATTTTTAAATGTGTAATTGAAATTTGAAATTATTAAGTATTTAAATATCTAAAGTTTACATCAGAAGGTTGCGAAGATACTTTCCCCAGTCGGCAACACCCCTTCGGGAGTTAAAAACCAAGGGGCCGCCGGATCGCCGAGTGTTTCACAGGCCGGCTCCTTCTGCTGTAGGAGAGGTCATTAACGTTCTGAAGACCTCCTGCTTTTCACCAGGAAGTGTTACAGGGCATCTCCTGAGCTTAGGCAGTAGCCGTAGGGTGACTTCTGGAGCCTCGCGTTTCCCCGCCCCAGCAAAGAGGCGGAGATTGACCGCGACGCGCGCTCAGAGCCGGAGAAATGAGCCCGCGAGCCAGGCCGGCGCTTCTGCTCCTGACGCTTTTGCAGACCGCGGTCCCGCAGGGGCGCCTGCCGCGTGAGTCCCAGGGCTGCGGGCGAACTGGGGGCTCGGCGGGGGTGGACAAACCGAAAGTAGCATTTCTTTGCGCCTGGGAGTTAGCTCACTTTGGAGGACCTGCCCAGCCCTATCCGCCGCCCCCCTCCCTACTTTCTGCGTCCAGATCCCGGGGAGGGAAATGCCGGCCACTGAGGGCCAGATGGGGGTCCCTCGTCCCGGGAACTGCCCCCCTCCCCGGCAGTCCAGGCTTTTCGGAGTGACTTTCGGAACCGCCCACTCCCTTCCCCCCGACCAGAATACTTTTTTTTTTGAGACGGAGTTTCGCTCTTGTTGCCCAGGCTGGAGTGCAATGGCGCGATCTCGGCTCACCGCAACCTCCGTCTCCTGGGTTCAGGCAATTCTCCTGCCTCAGCCTCCTGAGTAGCTGGGATTACAGGCACGTGCCACCATGCCCAGCTAATTTTTAGAATACTTTTAAATAACTCTCGTAGTTTCTCACTTGAGCTCAGCTAAGCCTGGGACTCGTTGCACCTGGATATCGGGTTTATTGTTTCCAGTGTCAGCTGTGCGGGTTTTTTCCGTCTTCTCCAAACAGGAAGTTCTTCCGTGCGTGCCTGCCAGACGGCCTAGGGAACCCACAGAGGGGCTCGCGCGGGGTTTGCACCTCAGAACGAATGCGCTGGGCGGTGGGGGCGCGAGCGAGTGGGGTTGGGGATCTGAATTCGTCCCCATTCCACCCGCTTTTGGTGAGACCTGGTGGGGGAGGTCTCTGGGGTGGGAGGCTCCTGAGAGAGGCCTACCTCGGGCCTTTCCCCACTCTTGGCAATGGTTCTTGAGCCTGGAAAGTTAAGGATATGTTAGTTTTGAACGTTTGAACGGAACGGTTTCCTTTCCAGCTAGGCTTTATTGATTTGCAATGTGCTGTGTAATCAGGAGGCCTTCTCTAAAGAATGTCAAAGTACTGATAGTGAACATGTAAGCGGTGCACTCAGTTGTCAGTCATATTCACATCTGATCTGATTTGACGTTCACTAGGCATAGGGAGTAGGAGCTATTAATAAGCTTAATTTGCTAGAAATTAATTGGACTTGAGATTAAATAACTCTTTTCAGGTTACCAAGAACATAGCTAATCTGGTTTTCTGATGTTATTTCAAGTAGTACAGCTGCTTCTAAGCTGTTAACGGTAATTTTGCCCTGTAGTCTGGCACAGTGTTCTGTGGCTCACTTGCCGGCCTCAGCACAGCACTTTCTGAGGGTTGGTACTAGGTATCCACATTTTATACATGACAAGAATAAGGCGTGCGCGGCCTGCTTCCTGGAAGATTTGCTGAATGGTACACTGGGCTTTGGTGGCAGAGCTCATGTCTCCACTTCATAACTAGGATTCTTAAACATCACACTGCGTTAGAGGCTGAATAATAAAATTTGCTGTTGAGCAGAAATATTCGTTGTTTACAAGTGTAAATGAGTCTCAACCATGTGTTGCACTGTTCTAGGCCCAAGGGAGAGGGCAGGGAAACAAGCCTTTATCCTTTGATATTTCACATTCTAGTGGGAGAGATGACAGTAAGCAAATGAGCAGAAAGATATACATCCGGAAACTACGGGTGTTGTGAGAAGCAGAGAAGTCAGGGCAAGTCACTCTGACACTTGAACAGAGACACGAAGGAAATTAAGAATATTGACTGCCAGCAGGATTTCCCAGGCAAACTGAGTGGGCCTGGCAAGTTGGATTAAAAAGCAGGTTTTCTCAGCACTACTCACTTGTGTGTGTATGTGTGTGTGTGTGTGTGTGTGTGGTGTGTGTGGGATGAGGGGGGACTGCCATCTGCATGCAACATGTCTAGCAGCGTCCTGTCCTCCCTACTCACTAGTTCCTAGGAGCACTCATCCTACTCACTAAGTGCTGGGGACACTCATCCTCCCTATGCGCTAGGTGCTAGGAGCACTCCCCCAGATTGATTTATTTATTTATTTATTTATTTATTTATTTATTTATTTTGAGACGGAGTCTGGCTCTGTCACCAGGCTGGAGTGCAGTGGCGCAGTCTCGGCTCACTGAAACTTCCGCCTACTGGGTTCAAGCGATTCTTCTGCCTCAGCCTCCCAAGTAGCTGGGACCACAGGTGTGTGCCACCATGCCCGGCTAATTTTTGTATTTTTAGTAGAGACGGGGTTTTACCAGGCTGGCCAGGATGGTCACGATCTCTTGACCTCGTGATCTGCCCGCTTCGGCCTCACAAAGTGCTGGGATTACAGGCGTGAGCCACCGCACCCAGCTTCCCCTAGTCTTGACAACCCAAAATGTCTGTAATCTTTGCCACATGTCACCTAGGAGACAATCTCTGAGTTAAGAGGCTAGGGTTGAAAGAATCATAAGGCATACTGGGGGCTAGAGGCCAAGAAGTAGGTAATGGGCTCAGAAGAGGAGCCACTAACGACTTGTACAGGGCCTGTGGGCTGTGGTGTGAATGCTAGTGAGGAGTAACAGTGATCCGTCATTGCTCTACAGAGACTGCTCTGGCATATACGTGGAAAGCAGAATGAAGGGAGCAATGGTAAAAGCAGGGAGCCCAGCCAGGAAGCTGTAACACAGTTCAGGCAAGAGACGGATTGCAGAAGGGTTCTATGTTGTGTGAGAGAAAGAGAATTGTTTGGGTTTGGTAGCTCACGCCTATAATCCCTGCAGTTTGGGAGGCCAGGAAGGGTAGATTCTTGAGCTCAGGAGTTCAAGACCAGCCTGGGCAACATGGCGAAAACCCTTCTCTACAAAAAATAGAAAAATTAGCCAGGTGTGGTGGCATGTACCTGTAGTCCTAGCTACTTGGGATGCTGAGGTGGGGGGATTGCTTTAGCCCAGGAAGTTGGGGCTGAGGTGAGCCGTGCCACTGTACTCTAGTCTGGGTGATGGAACAAGACCCTGTCTCTCCGGTGCCCCCAAAAAAGAGGAGCTAAACCTGACTTTGTTCTTTAATTGTATTGGCCTGAGCAGTGAGGTAACTGGCAGTGCCATTTCTGAGATGATGAACGTGGTGGAAAGAGCAGTTTAGGGCAAATCCAGGATCTGGATTTGAGATTCCAGTCAGACATCCAAGTGGTGAGGCCATATGGGCAGTTCAGTGTAAGAGTTCAGGGCCAAGGGTGGGTGCGGTGGCGCACTCCTGTAATCACAGCACTTTGGGAGGCCGAGGCGGGCAGATCACTTGAGGTTATGAGTTCGAGACCAGCTTGGCTCACATGGTGAAACTCCGTCTCTACTAAAAATATAAAATTAGCTGAACGTGGTGGCACGTACCTGTGGTCCCTGCTCTTCAGGAGGCTTAGGGAGGAGAATCCCTTGAACCCAGGAGACAAAGGTTGCAGTGAGCTGAGAGTGTGCCACTGCACTCCAGCCTGGGTGACAGAGACTGCAACTCAAAAAAAAAAAAAAAAAAAAAAAAAAAAAAAGATTAAAATCTTAAAAATCTAGGTGTCATCATTTATTCTTCCAAGTAGTATTTCTGAAGCACCCACTACATGCCAGGTGCCCCTCTAGGCACTGGGGATGCATTCCAGAACCCCTCATTCTGTAACTGAGGATAGGTGTTGGGAAATTCTCACTTGCCGAGAGGTCTTGTCCTTTCATCTTTCTGGGGGACTCCTTCTGTATTTGCTTTTGCCCTAATGTGATCCAGAAAAGTTACTCTGAGCTATTTATCAGCACATCCTCATAGCATTTCAAGGAAAAGACTTGCACACGAGAAGGTTTAGCTGTGAAGGTGGTTATAAAAACAAACACAGAAAACAAACCTACATGAACGAATTCCTCAGGATTTGGGTCAAATTTGCTCTGAGCACCAACTGCTTAGTTTAATTTCCACGGCCAGAGACGCCTTAGCATTTTCTAGAATCCACCAGCTCTAGAGGAGGCTGTCCAATTATGAGTAATGGGACAGGGTCTGGGGGCCATGAGGGGAGGCAGCCACATGTGGCAGAGAAAGGTGCACTAGGAGAGAGAAGCCAGGACTGGAAAGACAGGGCTGCCTCTCACCCTTCACGGAATGAGAACCAGACACAGCTGATGGTATGAGTTGATTCAGGGGTGTGCAGCCTCAACCTCCGGGCCCCCTCCTGCTGCACATGGTTAAGGCCTGTTGCTCTGTCTCCAGGTTCACACTCTCTGCACTACCTCTTCATGGGCGCCTCAGAGCAGGACCTTGGTCTTTCATTGTTTGAAGCTTTGGGCTACGTGGATGACCACCTGTTTGTGTTCTATGATCATGAGAGTCGCCGTGTGGAGCCCCGAACTCCCTGGGTTTCCAGTAGAACTTCAAGCCAGATGTGGCTACAGCTGAGTCAGAGTCTCAAAGGGTGGGATCACATGTTCACTGTTGACTTCTGGACTATTATGGACAATCACAACCACAGCAAGGGTATGTGGAGAGGTGGCCTCAACTTTCTGAGACTGTCAGAGCATTTCATCTTTTCATGCCTCTTGAGGGAAACAGCTGGAAGTCTGAGGTGTCGTGGGAGCAGGGAAGAGGGAAGGAATGTTCTTCCTGAGATCACTTGGTCACTGGGGATGGTGGAAATAGGGACCTATTGCTTTGGCTGTAGTAACAAGGCTGGGGGTTTTTCCAGAGTCCCACACCCTGCAGGTGATCCTGGGCTGCGAAATGAAAGCGGACAACAGCACCGAGGGCTTCTGGAAGTATGGGTATGATGGGCAGGACCACCTTGAATTCTGCTCTGACACGCTGGATTGGAGAGCAGCAGAGCCCAGGGCCTGGCCCACCAAGCTGGAGTGGGAAGCGCACAAGATTCGGGCCAGGCAGAACAGGGCCTACCTCGAGAGGGACTGCCCTGCACAGTTGCAGCAGTTGCTAGAACTGGGGAGAGGTGTTCTGGACCAGCCAGGTATGGTGGAAACAGCCTTCTGCCCCTGCACTGTAGCGGCAGAGTGGAAGAGAAGGCAGGGCATGGAATCGCCAGCTGGGGTTTCAGAGGTGGCTGACGATATATGCCTCTCTAAGTTCTGGGAAGGGACTTTCCCAATCCGAGAGTCTCTACCTTATAATTGAGATGTATGAGACAGCCGAGAGTAATGGCTTTAATTTCTTTTTTCCGTGCATATGGCTCAAAGGGAAGTGTCTGCAGCCCTTGTTTTTGTTTAACCAATAATCCTTGGTATATTTATACCTGTTAAGAATTCAGACATGTCAAAAATAAACACACACACACACGGAAAAAAAAAAAAAAAAAATTCAGAGATGTCAACTGTCATATGAATACCAGGACAAAAAAATACTAGGTGAGGCCACCTATCAGAGCAGCAGAATCCTTTAGGTTAAAAGTTTCTTTCACAGAACATAGCATTACAGTTATCACCGAAGCTATCTGTCTTACAAGGCCCTGCTTTTTTTTTTTTTTTTCTGAGACAGAGTCTTGCTCTGTCACCCAGGCTGGAGTGCAATGGCGGGATCTCGGCTCACTGCACCCTCCGCCTCCCAGGTTCAAGCAATTCTCCTGCCTCAGCCTCCCGAGTAGCTGGGATTACAGGCACCCACCACCATGCCTGCTCAATTTTTTTTTTTGTTTTCGTGGGTTTTTTTGGTATTTTTAGTAGAGACAGTATTTCACCGTGTTGGCCAGGCTTTTCTCAAACTCCTGACCTCAAGTGATGCGACTGCCTCGGCCTCCCAAAGTGCTGGGATGACTGGCATGAGCTACCACGTCTGGCCACAAGACCCCTTCTTTAAAATTTGCCTGGTAGGTTTATCCAGGTGAAAATGACCATCCGTATTCAATCATTTTCAATGCACATAAAGGGGAATTTTATTTGTCAGAACAGAGAACATGAGTAAAAGGTATGTATATTTACGTGTTGGACCAGAGAACAGACTGATCTGACTGGGCTCTGAGTGACATGCATAAGAGCCCAATCTTAAGACACAAAATGGTGTCTCTCCTGCAGCTTGTTTTTTTCCTGAAAAGGGCATTTCCTTACTCCAACCCAGAAAAGGAAATGAAGGTTCTGGCCTTCCTGGCAAGGGTAAAAAGATCCCCTCTGCTTATCCTTCCTCTTTCCTGTTAAGTGCCTCCTTTGGTGAAGGTGACACATCACGTGACCTCTTCAGTGACCACTCTACGATGTCGGGCCCTGAACTTCTACCCCAGGAACATCACCATGAAGTGGCTAAAGGATAGGCAGCCACTGAATGCCGAGGAGGTTGAACCTAAAGACGTATTGCCCAATGGGGATGGGACCTACCAGGGCTGGATAGCCTTGGCTGTACCCGCTGGGGAAGAGCAGAGATATACATGCCAGGTGGAGCACCCAGGTCTGGATCAGCCCCTACTTGCCATCTGGGGTATGTGACTGATGAGAACCAGGAACTTAGAAAATGGTGGCTCACGCCTATAATCCCAGCACTTTGGGAGGCCGAGGTGGGTGGATCACGAGATCAAGAGATCGAGACCATCTTGGTCAACAAGGTGAAACCCCGTCTCTACTAAAAATACAAAAATTAGCCGGGCGTGGTGGTGCATGCCTGTAGTCCCAGCTACTCGGGAGGTTGAGGCAGGAGAATTGCTTGAACCCAGGAGGCGGAGGTCGCCGTGAGCCGAGATCGCGCCATTGCACTCCAGCCTGGGTGACGACAGCGAAACTCCGTCTCAAAAAAAAAAAAAAAGAAAATCTGTTGGGGGTTGGCAGGAATGCCTGAGGTGATAATTACGGGAGTGAAAGGAAGATCTGCTCTTTGTTAGGGAGTGGGCTGGGGGTGGCTCTCAAAGGCTTTACATTGCTTTATATGTTTTAGAGCCCTCGAACTCTGGCACCCTCGTCATTGGAGTCATCAGTGGAATTGCTGTTTGTGTCATCATCTTGTTAATTGGAATTTTGTTCATAATCTTAAGGAAGAGGCAGGCTTCAAGTGAGTAGGAACAAGGAGGAAGTCTCTTAGTATGTCTGCCCACGGCACAGTAGGAAGAGGGGCAGTGGGAGGGCAGAGGGGATCTGGGATCCATGGGAAGCATTTTTCTCTTTTATATTCTTTTTTTTTTTTTTTTGAGACTCAGTTTTACTCTTTTGCCCAGGCTGTAGTGAAGTGGCGCAATCTCTGCTCACTGCAACCTCCGCCTGCCGGGTTCAGCCAATTCTCCTGCCTCAGCCTCCTGAGTAGCTGGGGTTATAGGCATGCACCACCATGCCCAGCTAATTTTTTGGCCAGGCTGGTCCCAAACTTCTGAACTCATGATCCACCCACCTTGGCCTCCCGAAGTGCTGGGTTTATAGGTGTAAGCCACTGCACCCGGCCTCTCTTTTATAGTCTTTTGGAACACCAGCACTTCCCTGGGAGACAGAAATTAATGGTTCTCCCCAGAATGAAAGTCTCAACTATCAACAAATATCTTAAGAACACCTACTATATTGCAAGTGCTGTTTAAGGTAGTGCAGGGGCTTTGAGGTTGAGAAGTCACTGTGGCTATTCTCAGAACCCAAATCTGGTAGGGTGTGAAATTGATGGCAAGTAAATATAGTTAAAGAAGACCCCATGAGGTCCTAAGGTAGGCAGGGAGCAAATGCTTAGGGTGTCAAAGGAAAGAATGATCACATTCAGCTGAGGATAAAGAAAGACTTCTGGGGCCGGGCGCGGTGGCTCAAGCCTGTAATCCCAGCACTTTGGGAGGCCGAGGCGGGTGGATCACGAGGTCAAGAGATCGAGACTATCCTGGTCAACATGGTGAAACCCCGTCTCTACTAAACATACAAAAAACTAGCTGGGCATGGTGGCACGTGCCTGTAATCCCAGCTACTCAGGAGGCTGAGGCAGGAGAATTGCCTGAACCCAGGAGGCGGAGGTTGCGGTGAGCCGAGATCGCTCCATTGCACTCCAGCGTGGGTAACAAGAGTGAAACTCCATCTCAAAAAAAAAAAAAAAGAAAGAAAAAGAAAGACTTCTGGATCTTGAAGGAGAAGTGAGATTCCATTAGGTGAAGTTGAAGATGATGGAAGGTCTACACAGACAGAGCCACCATGTCGAGTCGAGGACTCTAAGGCATACTGGGAGGTTAGAAATCATGACTGTACTTCGACCTTGAGTTGGCGTAACTATCAGTCACCAATTACGCATTTCTACCCCCTCAACATGTGTGGTGTGGGGAAAAGAGAGGCAGATGGAAGCCATCTCATAGAGTCCTAGTGTCTTTTGAGACACTGGGTTATGATCACTGGGGTGTCATTGAAGGATCCTAAGAAAGGAGAGCCACAATCTCCCTTACATGGTGAATGAGTTGTTAAGAGGTTGGGAGGTGAGGATGCCAGGTAGAAAGTCAATAAGCAACTCCAGATGAGGGATAATGGTTCTCTAAATCCAGCAGTGCCCAGGACGAGGGTGGTCTCAATTGAGATGGGTGAATGAGGAAAATAAGGAACAGAGAAGAGTCCAGATGATGCCTGAGTTTGTGATGCCTGTCTCCTGGGTCTCTTGTCTCCACAGGAGGAGCCATGGGGCAATACGTCTTAGCTGAATGTGAGTGAAACGCAGCCTATAGACTCATTGTGGGAAGGAGACAGAACTAGAGACTCAAAAAGGAAGTGCACTTACGGAGTTCTTCGTGTTTCAGGACAGAGCCGAACCTAAAAATAGAAACTGCCTGAAGAACTCTTTGCTTTTAGCCTTCTCTGTTCATTTCCTCCAAAAGATTTCCCCATTTAGGTTTTCGAGTTTCTGTATGCCAGTGATCCCTCGCTGGGACTTCTCCCCTGGAACTGCCTCTCATGAACCTCAAGCTGCATCTAGAGGCTTTCTTCTTTTTCTCCATCACCTCAGGCACGTACACCTATATCATCTCATTTTCTATTTTTGGAAGAGGGCTGCTTAATTTTGGAGACTTACATGATTCATTTTAACATCTGAGAAAACCTTTGAACCCTGGGACATAGATGTCATAATCTTAACAGAATTTTACATATGTATCTAGGTATTTTCTGGACCCGCTCGACTTTTCCTTTGAATCTTCCCTCTGTGTTACCCAGCAACCCATCTGTCACCAAGCCATGGGGAGTCTTCCATCTGATTGTGCTGTGGGTTGGACAGCTATGAAGGCTGCACACTGCACAACTGGAAGAGGCACCTTTCCCAAAAAAAGCATCATGGATGTCTGTGGGTATTACAATGGGTGTTTTTAGCAGGTAGCTGGCAAACATCTTTAAAGGGGTTGTGAAGAGATGTCTTTTTCTAATTTGCATGAAGGCGTCCTACAGGTGTTCAAAGTGTGTTGGTGCCTACATTTGGGATGCTACTCTAGAATTCCAGACCTGAAGTGTCAAAATAATTTTCTACCTTGTCTCTCCTTGTTCTCATCATGAAAATTATCATAAGGGTGATGATAATGATGATAAAAGCACTTACTTGGTGCCTGACTCTTCTGAGCACCTACTTACATGCATTATTGTATGCAATTCTTATGATAAGTCTATGAGATAGGTGCTATTTATTTACCACATTTCTTTTTTAGACAAAGAAAGTGAAGTATAGGCCGGGCGCGGTGGCTCAAGCCTGTAATCCCAGCACTTTGGGAGGCCGAGGTAGGTGGATCACGAGGTAAAGAGATCGAGACCATCCTGATCAACATGGTGAAACCCCATCTCTACTAAAAATACAAAACATTAGCTGGGCATGGTGGCGCACGCCTGTAATCCCAGCTACTCAGGAGGCTGAGGCAGGAGAATTGCTTGAACCCAGGAGGCGGAGGTTGTGGTGAGCCAAGATCGTGCCATTGCACTCCAGCCTGGGTAACAAGAGTGAAACTCTGTCTCAAAAAAAAAAAAAAGTGAAGTATAGAGTATCTCATAGCTAGCCAGTGATAGAAACATGTTTCAAACTCAGTCTATTTGATACATCTCATACAGCACTACATTCAGGTAGATGCCTGTAGTAAATAGAGAAGGAAGGAGATGGTTCTTCTCTTGTCTCATTGTGTTTCTTTTTTTTTTTTTTCAAATGGAGCCTCTCACTGTTGCCCAGGCTTAAGTGCAGTGGTGCGATCTCCACTCAGGAGAATCAAGTGATTCTCCTGCCTCAGCCTCCTGAATAGCTGGGATTACAAGCGCCCACTACCACGCCTGGCTAATATTTTGTATTTTTGATAGAGACAAGGTTTCACCACTTTGGCCAGGCTGGTCTTGAACTCCTGACATCGTGATCTGTCCACCTTGGCCTCCCAAAGTGCTGGTATTACAGGCATGAGTCACCATGCCCGGCCTCGTTGTGTTAGCGTGAATCAAATTGAAGGAAAACAGCAGAAAACAACCAGTTGATCCTCAGCTGTCATGTTTGTTTTCAAAATCCCTGAGGGAAGGAGCTGGAATGTGACTCCCTTGCTTCTCTGTTGCTCTCTCTGGTATTCATTTCTTTGGCTCCTATGCAAGGACTGTGATTGGTGGGGACAGCTAATAGCCCTGCTGGGCCTTCATACACAGTGTCTTCCCTAGGCCAGTGCCTCTGGACTCAGAACCCTGGTGGCATTTCCCTTAATGAACTGTAGTAAGCGATTTCATTTTGAGATGGCACAATGGAAGCCACCAAGCAGTGCAAAGGATGCCCAGGCCCTGTCCTGGGGTCACTGGGGTTCTGGTGCACATTAAAAAAAATCTAACCAGGACACTCAGGAATTGCTAGATTCTGAGAAATTGATTTACTTGACCATGTTCAAAAGAGTCTTAATATATATAGCCAGATGGCGTGTGTTTACTTTATGTTGCCACATGCATTTGGCTGCATAAATGTGGTACAAGCTTTCTGTCTTGGAGGGCAGGTGCTTCAGGATACCATGTATAGCTAAAAAGTTTATTTTGTAGGCATTACATTTTGGCAAGGATATCTTGTCTCTTATTTTAAACCATTTTCTTTTTTTCTGGTTAGAAAAGTTATGTAGAGAAAGGTAAATATTGGCCAGGTGCAGTGGCTCACGCCTGTAATCCTAGCTCTTTGGGAGGTGGAGGCGGGCAGATCACCTGAGGTTAGGAGTTTAAGACCAGCCTGGCCGACATGGTGAAACCATGTCTCCACTAAAATATCAAAATTAGCCCATGATGACGGTGGGTGCCTCTAACCCCAGCTACTTGCGAGGCCAAGACGGGAGAATCACTTGAACCCAGGAGGCGGTGGTTGCATTGAGCGAGATCTTCCCACTGCACTCCAGCCTGAACGTCTGAGCGAGACTCTGTCTCCAAAAAAAAAAGAAGAGAAGAAAAAAAGCTTAATGTGATTTATGCTCGTTGTAGAAAAGCTGAAAAATAAATAAAACAATGCTGTTATTTAATTAACCAATGATAAACTATTAACAACTTGTGCGTTACCTCCTAGTATTATTATTGCATTAAAAATGCATATACTTTAATAAATGTATATTGTATACTGCATGATTTTATTGATGTTCTTGTTTATTTTGTGTATATATTTAAATGCTTTGTCATTTTGGAGACATTTTTTTTCTTTTTCTTTTTCTTTATTTTTTTTTGAGACGGAGTTTCGCTCTTGTTAACCCAGGCTGGAGTGCAATGGCACGATCTCGGCTCACCGCAACCTCCGCCTTCTGGGTTCAGGCAATTCTCCTGCCTCAGCCTCCTGAGTAGCTGGGATTACAGGCACACGCCACCATGCCCAGCTAACTTTTTGTATTTTTAGTAGAGACGGGGTTTCACCATGTTGACCAGGCTGGTCTCGATCTCTTGACCTCGTGATTCACCCGCCTCGGCCTCCCAAAGTGCTGGGATTACAGGCTTGAGCCACCGCGCCCGGCCGACATTTATTTTTCTATTTTTTTTTTTTACATTTTGTTTTATGAAATATTTTCATTAAAATGTGGTAGCCAAATTAATTATTTTTCTTCACTCTGGGGACATTATAATCTAAGTTGTAAGACATTGGTTATTTTACCAACAAACCATTCTGGAAGCATAGGACAAATTCCTTCTCTCTTAATATTGTCCTATACTCAAAGCAGACTGCTGTAAGGCTTCACTTACTCCTCTGTTTCATAAATAATATGTTACAATCAATTAGGTAATCACTTGTTTTATATTGGTTTCATTTCACATGGGGTGAGATTTCAAGAAACCCCCGTGTCTTCACAGTAACACATTTACTAGGCATCACAAACTATGGCCTGTTAAGTTTTTTAGCAGAAATTATAAGTCATCATTTTTGTTTTCCATTTTTCTTAGCTCAATTTTGTTGTTTTTATTCATAAATTCTTTTTTTTTTTTTTTTTTTTTTTTTTTTTTTTGAGATGGAGTTTCACCCTTGTTGCCCAGACTGGAGTACAATGGCAGTATCTTGGCTCACAGCAACCTCTGCCTCCTGGGTTCAAGCGATTCTCCTGCCTCAGCCTCCCAAGTGGCTGGGATTATAGGCCTGTGCCACCACGCCTGGATAATTTTGTATTTTTAGTAGAGACAGAGTTTCTCCAAGTTGGTCAGGCTTATCTTAAACTGTGACCACAGGTGACCTGCCCGCCTCAGCCTCCCAAAGTGTTGGGATGACAGACGTGAGCCACTGCACCCTGCCTCTTCATAAATTCTTAAGGTCAACTACATTTGAAAAAGCAAAGACCTACATACTAAATTTCTCCCACCAGCCCCCCCTTTTTTTGGTCTGACGGAGTCTTGCTGTTTCCCAAGCTGCAGTTCAGTGGTGCAATCACGGCTCACTGCAACCTCTGCCTTCTGGGTTCAAACAGTTCTCTGCGTCAGCCTCCCGAGTAGCTGGGATTACAGGTGCACGCCACCACGCCCGGTTAATTTTTGTATTTTTAGTGGAGACCATGTTTCATCGTTTACCTCGGGTAAAACCATTCACAAAGCATGGTGGTAGAGAGAAGGGTGACACCTGGTGGCCATAGGTAAACGTACCACGGGGGGCCGGTGACCGAGAGGCAGAGCTGAGGGTTTTCCTGAGGGTAAAGGAATAAACAATGGGTGGAAGGACGTGCACTGAAAATCAGTTGCAGAGAAAGCCCCTGAAAATTTGAGAAAACAAACCAGAGACTACTTACCAGCTATTTCAATTGCTGGAATCACAGGCCACTGCTGAGCTGCCTGAACTGGGAATACAACAGAAGGAAAACAAACAACTCTCATAATCATTGAGTCAAGTACAGCAGGTGACTGAGGATGGCTGGGAGGTACAGGCCGAAATTCTTGTGTTGTGTTCATTTTTTTCAGACAAGTAATAATAAATGAAAAAAAATTTTTTACTTAGGTATATTCAGGGCGTAAAAGTTCAATTTTGCTACATTGATACATTGCATTGTGGTGAAATTAAGGCCTTCAATCCATCCTAGAAAAAATTAGTTAAAGAAAAAATTTATGCCATGGAAAATTCTGAATACAGAAATTCATCAAATTAATTCCATAAAGAATTTATTTATAAAGCCAAAAAAATTAGAATATCTTGTAGTACTGTCTATATTTTATAAAACTTTCTTCACAAACACACACATTTAAAAACAAAACTATCTCTAAAATCCCCAAATTTCTTATCAACTATTGGTTTTAAACTACTGTTTTTTCTAACTACAATCTGATTTAACGATGACTAGCACTCAAATATTTCTTTTCTTTTCTTTTTGAGACAGAGTTTCGCTCTTGTTACCCAGGCTGGAGTACAATGGCACGATCTCGGCTCACTGCAACCTCCGCCTCCTGCCTGGGTTCAGGCAATTCCCCTGCCTCAGCCTCCCGAGTAGCTGGGACTACAGCGGCGTGCCATCATGTTCGGCTAACTTTTTGTATGTTTAGTAGAGACGGGGTTTCACCATGTTGACCAGGATTGTCTCGATCTGTTAAATTCGTGATCCACCCGCCTCGGCCTCCCAAAGTGCTGGGATTACAGGCGTCAGCCACGGCGTCCGGCCACACTCAAATATTTCTGACTTTGAAATTAAAGATTTTCCCATGCAGGCTGATGTTTGCAATTGTGATTCTCTCTATAGACGTTGTGTATAATGTGTTCTTTTCCTTTTTTGCATCAGTGATTAATTCTCCACTGTAATGTGTCGAACATTAATACAATAATATTTTGTGTGACAATTTTATTAGAAAATCTAGAATGCCTTGGCACCTTGCATATATTTCTTACTTCATATGCATGCATTTTGGCATCTCAAGCATTTTGTTTCTGAGTAATTGTTTAAGGTATAGAAGAGATAGATGTGGCTGATACTTCTATAGTTTTTAATTCTTGACTGGATGAATTTGTATAGTAAAAGTTTTTCATGACATAATTTCTTTTCTAAAACTAATTTTTTCCAGGATTGATTGAAGGCCCTGATTCTACCGCAATGCAATGTATCAGTGCAGCAAAATTTTACTTTTACCTCATGAATATGTATAATTTTTTTAAAAACCCATTTTTTCAGCCAATTATTATTACTTACTAGATACTAGGCTCTGTTCTGAATCTTAATTTAATTCCTCCAAAGTATCTTATGAGATAGGTGGGAGCTATTGCTGCCATTCTGTTATCCTTATGTTGCTGTTATGAAACCAAGGCACAGAGAGGTTAGTTAACTTGGTAAAGAAAATGATTGTCCTGGATTTATATTCCAGCCGTTCTTAACCACTAGATAACCTTATGTCTGAGGCAAGGAAACATATGGTGTGGCAGTTGTTACCATCTTTTTGGGAACAGCAGCACTCCTGATGTTTATTGCAGGGAAAAAGGAATCTCAGAATTTGCCTGATTCCTATAACTTTTTTTCTAAATTTTTTGAAACATCTTTCAGGTGTATTTTAAAATGTAAGGATTTTGTTTTGTTCATACAGAATTTTTTTTTTTCTTCTTGAGACAGAGTCTCATGCTGTTACTCAGGCTGGAGTGCAGTGGCGTGATCTCCACTCACTGCAACCTCCACTTCCTGGGTTCAAGTGATTTTCCTGCCTCACCTTCCTAAGTAGCTGGGACTAAAGGTGCATGCCACCATGCCTGGCTAATTTTTTTGTATTTTGAGTAGAGAAGGAGTTTCGCTGTGTTGTCCAGGCTGGTCTTGAACTCATGACCTCACATGATCCGCCCTCCTCTGCCTCCCAAAGTGCTGGGATCACAGGCGTGAGCCACTGCAGCTGGCCAAATTTCTAACTGGCTTTTTTATTGTTAAAACGGGGTCTCACTCTGACACCCAGGCTGGTGTGCAGTAGTGTGATTATGGCTCACTGCAGTCTTGAACTCCTGAGCTCAGATGATCCTCCCACCTCAGCCTCCCACGTAGCTGGGACCACCATATCTTGCTCATTTTTTTCTACTATTTGTTGAAACGGGTTCTTGCTATGTTGCCTAGGCTGGTCTTGAACTCTGGAGCTCAGGCAATCCACCTGCCACAGCCTCCAAAAGGATTATCAGGCATGAGCCATGGTACCTGGCCAAATTTCTAACTTTTGAATTCACATATTCATTTATTCTCTTTATCATTCAGGGAGAAATTTTGGGATAGGTAGCCTTGAAGCATCATCCACCAAGTTATTTTATCCACCAGCTTTAGATACAAAGTATTTTAAAATTATTTTTAAAAAATCAAATTCTGGATTTTGGTCTGAAGATTCTAAAAAGAATTTTGGAGTCTTTAATTCGTTATTTGTGGGCAGGGGAATAAGTACCAATAATTGTATAACTTTCAGTGGAAGTCACATTAGCTAACTTTAGTCTATTAATTATCCTTGATTTATTCCTTAAACAGAGTCACCATAATGGCACTTTCATAAAACAGTGAATAAGCAATTTCACTACTGCCCAAGAGCTTTACTGTGTATATGAGGGCGTCTGTTATAAGTATGGGTATAATGCTACAGGGTTTTCTTTGTGTAAGTTTGTATTCACAATAATTACAACAAATGTATTTTGTGCTTTCTGTGTGCTATTAAGAAAGTATTCATGGGAATTTTGGAAATCAAATTTAATTACTATCAAGTTTGTAAAATTTTTGAAACAAATGTTTAAGAGAGGGTACTGTTAGAAATTCTCTTTCCAGGCAGACCTGGGGGCTCACGCCAATAATCCTAGCATTTTGGGAGGACAAGGTGGGTAGATTGCTTAAGCCCAGGAGTTTAAGACCAGTCTGGACAACAGAGGAAAGCCTCATCTCTACAAAATATACAAAATTAGCTAGGTGTGTGCACCTGTAGTCCAAGCTACTTGGGAGGCTCAGATGGGAGGATCACTTGAGTCTGGGAAGTGGAGGCTACCATGAGCGATCATGGTGCTACTGCACTTCAGCCTGGGCCAAAAAATTAGGAACCAGAAAAGAAAAAGAAGGCTGGGCTTGGTGGCTCACATCCATAATTCCAGCACTTTGGAAGGCTAAGTCGGTAAATCACTTGAGGTTGGGGGTTCAAGACCAGCCTGGTCAATGTGAAACCTCATCTCTACTAAAAATACCAAAATTAGCTGGGTGTAATGGTAGGTTCCTGTAGTCTCAGCTACTCAGGAGGCTGAGGCAGGAGAATTGCCTGAACCAGGGAGGTGGAGATTGCAGTGAGCCAAGATCGCAACACTGCACTCCAGCCTGGGCGACAGAGCCACACTCTGTCTCAAAAAAAAAAAAAAAAAAAAAAAGAAAAAAGAAAAAAAAAGAAAAGAAAAGGAATTTCCTGTCCAAATAACTTTATTTTTAATAAGTCAAAGTGTATTAACTGTTTATGGGAGAGTGTCCACGCAAGTACAGCAAGCCTACGAAGTACAAGTTAAAAGACCTTTTAGTAAAATAATTTAAACTGAAAAGAAAAAGCAGAGATTTTTTCCTAGAAGAGTAAGGAGTGGAGGTAAGGAAAACCAGCAGAGACATAGGTTATGCTACAGAACCAAAGTTGTGCCAATGGCATTGATACTTTAATACAGAAAACAATGAATCAGAAAATGGGTATGTATAAATAGGTTAGGTTTCTGAAAAAGAGAAGCAGTGAAGCCTTAGATGGGAGTGAGATAAATCAGCCACTGGCTAGAGGAGCAGTTTGCCCAAGACCAGGGGTGATGTCCCCAAGTGTCTGGAAATAACTGTTGTGATGTTGTAAAGCCCCCATTGTCTAAGTTGGGTGAGGCGATACTTAATGCATTTTCTCACCTGTGATATAGCTCAAAAGTATTTCTACTCTGGGATTTCCTTACGTTTTACTAAAGCACAATTATATACTTGAAATTGATGGTGTATGCTGAACTGCTGGTCATTCTCAACTCTGGCCAAGTATCAGAATTATTTATTGAATATACAGGTACCATATATAGGTGCATACACACACACACACACACACACACACACGCATACACATGCATACACACCCACCCACCCACACACACCATATTTCATTCCTCAACTGGGATATTCTGACAGAGTTAGTGGAGGGTATTTCTGGCCAATTTTTATTTGCATAAGACCTCTGGTTATTTTTTTTTAAGTATAGATGAAATATTGCTATGTTACCCAAAATGGTCTGGAACTTCTGAGTTCTCCCAACTCACCCTCCAAAGTGCTGGGATTACAAGCATGAGCCACTGCATCAGGGCAAGACCTCTGATTAATATCCTAGGTTTATTTGTTCGAAAGTTTCACAGATTGTCTTAACCACAAGTTGTTGGCAGAGTTTTAATCTGAAGGTCTTGGGTCTCATGTTGAATGAATGAGGTTCACCTGATGGGTGAGAGGAAGGTGAAATCGAAAGTGAACAGGAAGCCATACAGATTTCGGCAGGTGAGCCTCCCCTCTCCGAAACCATAAGATTGAGTATGCCTGAATTCTTCCCAGAGTGAAGGAATCCATTTTAGGGTCATGTGTGTGTGTGTGTGTGTGTGTGTGTGTGTGTGTGTGTGTGTGTGTGTGTCTGTAGATCCTTTAAATATTTCTGTTCTGACATTCATTGTTTTTGAGTTGCTGTCATTGAGAAAAGTTTAGAAAGGAGATATTAGGAGTAGAAAACAGAAAGTAAATCAAATAGAAAAATAAAAATGGTGTTTTATAGATGATATAATAGGCAAAATAAAGGAAAGGCATCCTAGACCTCTGATTTAAATGAAGATGGCACTTGGTGAGGTATGTTCCAGGGGAGTTCACATGATGTATGTTTTCAGAGAATTCCCATATTGCATATGCTGCTATAATTTTAATTTTCATGAATTAAAAGGCTTGTTGACATTTCAGAGTTTTACTTATGATCTCAGACTCTGCACTTTTTTTCTGTAATGTCTGACATTTCTTCCTAGCTAAGCCTCCACTTATGAGGTATGTGTTGCCACATGTGGATAGTGACAGTTAAAAATACCTAAGAACTCAATTTGGGGCAGAAGAATGTAATCAGTTATGTCAGAAGTGATACAAACCATATGACATTTAGAGCATTCTGACCTTTCCTGAGTCTTTTCTCCATTCCTGGATTTCTAATCTTGATGTGAGCAAGACTGAGGTTACTATATATTGCCTCTCACAGGCTACAGTCTTATTGTAAATATTCACGATAGATATTTATTTATTAAACAGAGGGTGCTGGGTAGGGGTAAGTTTTTATTTTTTAAACAAAGGTGATTCTTATGGACATTTTCAAAAGCTGCAGCAGGAAGCTAAGAAGAAAATTTTGAATTGAGAGATCTCTTCAAACCACATTCAGACCCAATTCTGCTATTCTATTTATGTTTATTTTTAAAGGAGATTAGCCTTATTTTAACACCAATAATCTTATCACAAAACCTCCCAGTGGAAGACCCTGTAGACTTTGTAATGACCTTAATCAAGTATTAGCCCTACACTTCAATTAATCCCCAACTATACAAAACGTATGTTCTTTTCTCTGAAGCTGGAGCAAGTTGAAAGGGGATTAATAATGGAGGGAAGGGAGTGGAATTGCAGGTATAGCAGACAGACATAGTAGGCCAGGAAGAGTATCAAGAGAAAACGTTATCCAGAATTATGTTTATGTTCCCTGCCTCTCTCACAGACCTGCTGAAAAATGAGCCATTCAATAAATATTTGAATCTAGATAGGGAAGGTGAAGAGGAGGAAGTTTGCACTTAAGAGGTTTTAATTTGCAATTATTTTGGCTACATTTTTGTCCTCCCAAACCTCGGGTCTTTAGGAGCGAAACTTCATAACAAAACTTCTACTTTGTTCAGCACAGAGAAGGCCATCAAAATGCCATCGTTTAAATAAAAATATTAAAATGACTGAGAGGGTAAGTCCCTTGACCTATAAATCTGACCTCCTTTGAACATTATTTGTACTTTCCCCAATAAACTATTCCCTAATTTATTAGTTACTACGTGGAAATAAAAATAAACGTGGAATGGAGCTGTGTTTAGCGTCATTCGGCTGACAGGAATACAGTGCATTCAGCTTGGAGACACCCTTCTCCGCCCACGAAGAGCGAGATCTCACGGGCCAATCAAAACAATGAACTCGTAATGAAACAGTTTTTCTTGCTCCACCCACTCTGTAACCTAATTTGAAAAAAATCCGCGCCAACTCATGTTGTTTTCAATCAGGTCCGCCAAGTTCATATTTAAGGGACTGGGTCAGTTCAGGTTTTTCCATTGCAATAGGAATCATGTCTGGTCGCGGTAAGGGAGGTAAAGGTTTGGGGAAAGGTGGCGCTAAGCGCCATCGCAAAGTCCTTCGGGACAACATCCAGGGCATTACAAAGCCGGCTATTCGCCGTTTGGCGCGGCGCGGTGGGGTCAAGCGCATTTCTGGTCTTATCTATGAGGAGACTCGAGGTGTGCTTAAGGTTTTCTTGGAAAACGTTATTCGAGATGCTGTCACTTACACGGAGCACGCGAAACGCAAGACTGTCACTGCCATGGATGTCGTATATGCTCTAAAACGTCAGGGGCGCACTCTGTATGGTTTCGGCGGCTGAAACGGTCTCCGGGAAACTAAATAAACAAAAAAGGCCCTTTTCAGGGCCGCCCACAAAGTCACTTAAAAGAGCTGAAATACGTTGCAAAAAACAAGTCTGGATAGCAGAGTTCACTGCGCCATCCTACATAAGACTGCTGACGGGCATATTAGGTTTTATTTGGTATTGTATCTGTTAACCTGACTGCACATTTTGACAAGTCCTTTTTAAGCAGAAAGTAGGTCTAGACAGGTAATCTCTAATAAAAGTACTTGGCTCCACTAAAGAATTTTTCCGTGTGCTGTGTCTCACGCCTGTAATCCCAGCACTTAGAGACGCCAATTCGGGTGGTTCCCTTGGTCAGGATTTAGACTAGCCTGGCCAACTTGGTGAAACCCCAGCTCTACCAAAAAGAAAAGGAAACTAGGCGTGGTGGCCTGGGTCTGTAATCCCAGCTACTCGGGAGGCTGAGGCAGAAGAATCGCTTGAACCCAGAAGGAAGAGGTTGCAATGAACCGAGATCGCAGTCACTATGCTCCAGCCTGGATTTTAGAGACTCCCTCTCCAAAGGCATGCATTTGAAAGCATTCTAAGAATGATACTTTGGACTTAACCCGGTGGCTGGAGGCATGTGTTGAACAAAGGTTAACACCCTTTGTCTCATGCAGCACACAGCTATGTAAATAAAGCATCTTTAGGGACAAGCTCTCATTTGCAGGATTGGGTTCTATGACCATTGTCCTGTTGGCCAAAATCTAAGTGGTCTAATAGTCCCCAGAACTGGAGGAAGAACCATAGCTGGTTAACTGTTTTTAACCTTATGTATGCCAGGCACTAGAAGGCCAGAGGAGCAAAGTTGCAGGAAGTCATCCAGAGGGATTCCCATATTGTTGAGAGACTGACCAACTGCGGGGAGAGGCTAGTCGTTCATCCTCACTGTGATAAGAATCTAGGGACACTCCACTCCTGGGCACAGCATTTAGACAAAAGAGCTCTCTGCTATGTCAGGCAAGTGAGCTAAGATACTTTAGCTCAGATCCCGAGAGTTAGAACAATTTTGTGGTTTAGGAAGGTTGAATTCAGATCCTAACTGGGCAGCCTCCAACATTTCCATGAAGCTTCGGATTCTTAAAATTTTTCCGACTGCGCAATGCTCTGGCAGTCGATGAAACCTACAGACTCTTCATAAAGAAAATACTTAACTCATAGGGTTACAATGTTTCACCAGTAATATTAACATAATGATCGAACCACTTGACAGCAATGTGTTTTTGTTGATATATATCAAAAATCTAATAACAGTAGTACTTCTAAATCCATATTCAGGGATAACTTGATTCTTATTTATTGATCCCTTGAAGTCGGTGGACACCATATTAAGAACCAGCAGTTACAATGACACCACAGGAAAAGACTAGAATGTAGTACTTGTGTTAAAAAAAAAAAAAAAAATCAGCATATCATTGGATACCGAATTGCTCTCCACTCCCTTCCTCGGCAAACAATGGCATTTTCAGAACTTAGATGCTCTTACATGTAAAAGCCTACTCTAGTGCACCATCAGGCTTTTCAGGATTGGACATCAGACTGTTCAATTCCTGGACCTTTAGGTATACAACACGTCTCTGACAAGAAGCCCTTTAACTTTTTAAATTTTGGACAAGGTCTCATTTGCTGTCACCCAGGCTGCAGTTAGGTAGCACGATCATGGCTCACTGTATCCTCAAATTCCTCGGCTCAAGAGATTTTCCTTTCTCAGGCTCCGGAGTTGCAGGGTCTAAAGGAGCGCGCCAACCATGCTCAGCTAATTTACTCTTTTGTAAAACCAGCAGTCTCCAACCTTTTTGGCACCAGGAACTGGTTTTGTCTAGGACAATTATACCACAGACCAGAAAGTGCAGGGGCTGGGGGCGGTGACGTCCGGACTAAAACTGTTCCATCTCAGATCAGGCATTAGATTGTCACAAGGAACCTGCAACCTGGATCCCTTGCTTGTGCCGTTCAGAATAGTTTGCGCTTATGAGAATCTAAGGCTGCTGCCAAGGTGACAGGTGGCGGGGCTCAGGGTTAATGCTCGTTCACGCCTCACCTCCTGCTGTGCGGCCCAATTCTTCACGAGCCAGGGACAGGGACCGGTACTGGTCCGTGGCCTGGGGCACAGGGACCCCCGGTATAGATGGTCTGTGTTGCCCAGGCTGGTCTCGAAGCCTGGCCGGAAATAATTCTCCCACCTGGACTTTTCATCCCAGCCCATCGCAACTTAAAACCTATAGTTTACTGTCAAAAACTTAAGTGTTACGCCATCTTAAAATAATGTGGGTGGCTCTTAAAAGAGCCTTTGTGTTCTTTCTCAATCGGCTTCCTGGAAAGCTCTTTACTTCTTAGATGTGGCCTTTCTAACATTACTTTTATGTTGTGGGGTCAGTTTTGGCTTTCCAGCCCTTGCCTTCACTGGGCTCTTCGGCTGTTGCTTACCCTTGGCTCCTTTAGGCTTTCTCCCGTTTCTAACAGCCTTTTTAGGAGCTGTTGCCCTCGGCTTCTTGGCTCTCTTACTGGTTTTAGCAGTCTCTGGAGACTTGGAGTCCCTGGATAAAACCAGCTTCTTGGTCTTGGCAGAAGTAGACTTTTTGGCCTTACTCCTGGTAGACTTAGGAGTGACCTTCTTACTGAGCCTAAAGGAACCGGAGGCACCAGTACCCCTGGTTTGCACCAAGATTCCTTTGTTCACTAAGCTTTTGAGGGACAGTTTAATGCGGCTGTTATTCTTCTCCACGTCGTAGCCAGCAGCGGCCAGTGACTTCTTGAGCGCAGCCAGTGACATACCTACTCTTTCCTGTGACATTGAAAGGGCCTCGGTGATCAACTTGGACACGGAGAGGTTGGTCGCTTTGCGACTTGCAACCGTCAAGGAAGCTGACTTTTTCCCTCGCTTCTTGGCTAGAAGTCTCTCCATAGCTGCTGGAACAGAACCGGCAGGAGCTGCAGGTACAGTTTCAGACATAACAGCAGAGAAACACACTAAGTAGTAACCAGCGAAGAGCGTAAAACGCTAGGGGGCCTCAGGGCCTTATATAGGGCAGGGCGCGCTGTGATTGGTGCATCACCTAGGCACCGCCCCCGCCCCTCAGAGGAGGAGCATTTGTGTTTGTTTTACCCAGAGAAGTTGACTATAACAAACCCCCTCTGTACAGGATCTCCCAGAGTTTCGTGCTAAATGATCTGGGGAAATTCATATTTCACATGACTTTTTGCTTTTTAATGAAAAATGACCCCGGTTGCCAAAACTATTTGAGAAAGCCCTCGATTTTCAGTCAAATTTAAGGAGAAGAACAAAACTTCCCCCTTTCCTTGTAAATTGATAAGTAATTTTTGGCAGAAGACTTATTTCATTTCTTCAGAGTGAACTTCCAAATGGATAGCTTCAAATCGATAGAGGAAATAAATTATTCACGCCCTGATTTTTATTTAAAATTATTTATATATGTGAAGGAAGTAACACAGACCTCTTAGCTGTCTAACTGCGGACTCAGAAGATGCTTATAGAATTGTCAAAGACTGCAGAGGATGTCTTTATTTAGGCAAGTGCAATCTAATAAAACATAATCCGCAGGAACATGGGTTGTCTGAAATTAAAGATGCTCCCAAGTCCCTGTAGCTTTAGAGAAGGCTCTCAAGGACGGGGTTATATCAAGATCTCACACATTATGTGAGATTCGCCAAAATCCGGCCATTCTCATGGCTGGTGTCCTCAACTGAGGTTTGCTTCTGGTTTCATTAATTCAGCTCCCCTCCATCTGCCTGCCGGTTCCTAGCTTCCCAGATAAACAGACACAGTCCTTCCCCCAAATTAACTATAAAACGTCAACTATAAAAAATTAGCTGGGTGTGGTGGCACGTACCTGTGGTCCCACCTACCTCAAAACGTGAGGTAGAGGGGCGGGTGCGGTGGCTGTCACCTGTAATCCCAGCACTTTGTGAGGCCGAAACGAGCAGATCACGAGGTCAAGAGATTCAGCCCATACTGGCCAACATGGTGAAACCCTGTGTCTACTAAAAATACAAATATTAGCTGGGTGTGGTGGCACGTGCCTGTAGTCCCAGCTACTCTGGAGGCTAAGGCAGGAGAATCACTTGAACCTGGGAGGCAGAGGTTGCAGTGAGCAGATATCAGGTCACTGCACTCCAGCCTGGCAATAGAGCAAGACTCTGTCTCAAAACAAATAACAAACAAAACCAAAAAAACATGATGTAGGACTCTAGACTCAAGAACCGACTGGAAACCACAGACCTCCCTCATGTCTAACAGGACTGGGCTGGTTTATTCGGCAGTGGTTCATGCCTGTAATCCCAGCACTTTAAAAAGCTGAGGTGGGAGGACTGCTGGAGGCTAGGAGTTCAAGAGTAGCCTGGCCTGGTCTCAAAAAAAAAAAAAAAAATTAGCTGGGTATAGTGGGGTGCCATATACCTATAGTCCCAGCTACTGGGTAGACTGAGAGGATCACTTGGATCCCACAAGTTTGAGGTTGCAACTATTGCATTTCAGCTGGGCAACAAATGAGACCCCGTCTATGAATTATGTACTTAATTAATTAACTCGGTTGGCAGATTTGGCTGCAGAGCTGTGGGAAAATGGTTATTGGAATAATGTCAAGTATGCTCCCCTGAGCTTCTGCTGGAACTGGTCTTTGTGAGAGGTCTGGAGATAAGAGCTTGCCCTCAAAGGCCAAGGCCTTTCTGTGATGCTGATGGAGTTAAGTGTGCTCACAGCACAGGGCCTCAACAAAGGAAAACTCTGTAAGGGCCGTTTTGTGAAGATCCACAAATAGTAGTGTGATTTTGGTAGACAATGCAAGTTTTTTTTGTTGTTTTCTGAGATGGAGTTTTACTCTTATTTTCCAGGCTGGAGTGCAATGGTGCGATCTTGGCTCAGTGCAACTTCTGCCTCCCAGATTCAGGTGATTCTCCTGCCTCAGCCTCCCTAGCTGGGATTATAGGTGCCTACCACCACACCCGGCTAATTTTTTGTGTGTTTTTAGTAGAGATGGGGTTTCACCATGTTGGCCAGGCTGGTCTCAAACTCCTCACCTCAGGTGATCTACCCACCTCTGCCTTGGAAGTGCTGAGATTACAGGTGAGAGCCCCCGTGCCCAGCCACCATTGGAAATGTTTAAGCAAATAATTTGTTGTATTGTTGTAGTTGTCTTGGGTTCAGATTTATTGCAGAAACAGTCATTATTGAGAAGGGCCCACAGTCCGAGGTTAAGAGTCTGTTGCAATACTTTCAGAAGAATGGCAAAGACCTTGCCTAAAGAGACAGTGTGTTAAAAGAGAGAGTCTACATTTGAAATATATCTGAAGCAAAAGCCAAAAGATAAGACTACAAACTTATAATTGCAAAGTGACAGAAAAATCTCTCTCTCTCTCTCTCTGTTATACCCATACACACACACATATGCACAAACACCTGAAACAACAAAATTCAAAAAACAGACCAGGTAAGGTGGCTCAAGCCAGTAACCCGAGCAATTTGGAAGGTTGAGGCCAGTGAATCACTACAGCCCTGGTGTTCAAGGCCAGCCTAGGCAACATAGCAAAACCCGGTCTCGACTAAAAATTTAAAAAATTAGCTGTGTATGGTGGCATGTACCTGTGTTCCCACCTACTCAAAAGGCTGAGGTGGGAGAATCACTTGGGCGCAGGAGTTTAAGGCTGCAGTGAACCATGATTGTGCCACTGCACTTCAGCCTGGGCAACACAGAGAGACCCTATCTCCAAAAAAAAGGAATTGTCAAAAGACTGCAGAGGATGTCTTTATTTAGACAAATGCCTAAATTAAAAAAATATATTTATTTCATTTATTTTCAGAAAACAGTACTATTCTGAGTGCCAGCACTTCAACATATTCTATTGTAAACTAGTTCATTTCTAAAAGAACACTGGGTTGGAAATCATGAGTTTGATTTCACAACTCACTAAAGTACTGTGTCACTCAGTTTGGAAAATATTTTTATTTAGAGAGATTACAGGTGCATCTTTCTGAGCACCTGTATGTTTTTACATCTGTTTGGCTTCTCTGACCTTTCATAATTTCTGAGTGTTTGTACCGTTAAATGTTAGTGACTAGGGGTCAGATTATGGATCAGGTTGATCCTAACATTTAAAAGTTAACAGATTCCATTGCTTTAAAACCAACACAGGATTAGAGAATTTAGAAAATTGTGGCCGGGCAGGGTGGCTCATGCCTGTAATCCCAGCACTTTGGGAGGCCGAGGCGGGTGGATCACTAGGTCAAGAGATCGAGACCATCCTGGTCAACCTACTAAAAATACAAAAAATTAGCTGGGCATGGTGGTGCGTGCCTGTAATCCCAACTACTCAGGAGGCTGAGGCAGGAGAATTGCCTGAACCTAGGAGGCGGAGGTTGCGGTGAGCCGAGATTGCGCCATTGTACTCCAGCCTGGGTAACAAGAGTGAAACTCCATCTCAAAAAAAAAAAAGAAAAAGAAAAAAAGAAAATTGTTAGATTCCGTAATTTAAGACCCAGAAAAAAAAAATGATGCATATTTTGAATTAGATAGCTAAAAAGTTTCCATAAAAACAAATAATTATTTCCTATAGGGTCATGGCTAATAAAAAAAAAAAATGGGAAAAATGGCCCTCACTAGTAAAGTCATTAAAATAAGGAAATGAAATTTCAAACTTTTTTGGGGGGCCTATTAGGTTAACAATGCTTTAAAAAATTTATTGTAAATATGAGTGCTATAAAACAGGAATTTCCGTATTATGTTGGGAATATAAATTGGCATGATCCTGAATGGCAATTTGGCAATGTATATGTTAAGGACCTTAGAAAATGTTTTTAACTTTTGATTTAGTATTTACACTTCATGAAGTCTATCCTTAGGAAAAAATATTTGAACAAAGATTTATGCACAAAGGTGTGTGAGCTGTATAATCTATAATGCATAGAAATGGGAATTAAAATACCTAAGTATCAATATACCTATAAATTATACATCCATAAGAATTGTTTATAAGCATATTTATTATCTAAATATATATACGGCATGACACCTAAAATTTATTTTACATATATGATACATGATATATGTATATATGAGTGTGAATATATATGATATACATAAAAAAGAGACACTAGGAGTTATTTTAATTTTGTCTTTATGCTTCTCGTTTTATAAGCTTCTGTGAAGAACAGTTTAATAGTTTTATAACCAGAAAAAAACAAGCTAATTTTTCTTAGCCAGGTCCAAGCTAATTTTTCTTATTGGTTCTTTCTTGATTGTTCAAAATACCTGTTTATATTCTTCTAGGATCACTCATTTTCATTGGTTTATTTGCAAGATGAAACAGTTTCCAGCAGTGATGAGTGTTGGAAAAGATATTTCTAAAGGCTGTTGTCTCCTTCTAGAGAAAAGAGAGAGAGTGATTGATTCACTTCTGTAATTTATCAGATAGGAAATACTGTATTTGACTCTGAGAACAATCATGGTGATGGCTACAATTCATTGGGTGTTTGCTCTGTTCCAGGTAGTATTTTGAGAACTTTACATAATAGATACCAATGCATTTAGTTGTTACAACAACCTTTCGAGTTATCTACTGTCATTCTCCCTGTGTTATAGATGAGGAAATTAAGGCACAGAGAGGTTGAGTTTCCCAGGTAGCGCAGCTGTTGGATACTGAGCCTGTGCAGTAAACCCTCACCCTCTAGCCCTGGAATCTTTGTATGCTCTTAAAGGATGAATGTGACTTAGTCAGTGTCCTAGAAGTTCCATTTGATCTAACTTTGAAGGATAAGAATTCTTCCGGTGAGGATAAAGAATCAGTGTTTTTCATAAAGAAGACATAGTGACAAAGGCCAGGCAGTGAGGACTGTCTAAGATGGGAACATCTGCTTGATGGTGAGCCCTGTGGAACTGCCAGTGAGGGATATGGAAGGTCACTGAATGACAGGTTGAAGAATTCATGGTGGCAATTCCCACATGGGTAGTTGTAACAGTTTCTAGAAACCTCC